TTTTGACTGTAAGACCGTTCGGCCTTTGACTGTAACTGTAAGACCATTCGGTTCCGGCCGTCCTCTCACGTTCGGATTCGGCGGTTCTCTCCCGTTCGGGTCCAACAGTCCTCTTCCGTGCGAATCTGGCAGTCCTCTCCTGTTCGGATCTGGCCATCCTCTCCTGTTTGGATCCGGCAGATTTCAGGTGTTCAGTACTGACCCCACACTCTCGGCGGCTCATGATCTACCTGGGTGATTGGCATCGGATCGCTCGGCGACTCCCGATTTGCCTGGGTGATTGGCCTCTGATCGCTCGGCGACTCCCGATCTTCCTGGGTGATTGGCCTCGAACCGTTCGGCGACTCCCGATCGGCCTGAGTTATAGCGATTGGCCTCAGATCGCTCGACAACTCTCGATCGGCCTGGGTCATAGTGATTGGCCTCGGACAGTGTTACCTCTCCGCTCGTTCGTCCCCAAGACGACTGGTCTTCAATGGCCTCGAACTGTTCGGCTACTCCCTGGAACTCCTCAACATCCCTTGCGATCCGCATCACCACCATCCATTCTTGCGGGTCATGCTGTCAGACTTGATTCCGGATGTCCTCTTGCAATCTCGCAAGAAAATATCCTAACAACTTCTCATCCGGCACCGTCTTCGTTCAACCCGCCAATATCTTGAAGTCTTGTACATACTCGTCCACCGTCCCCGTCTGTCTCAATGCCATCAACCGCTCAACAATGGTTTCAAACCTTACCACCAACGCATGCTTCAATCCTGCTCAAGAACGGTTCTTGGCCTTCTCCCTCCAAAATCAGAACCAGTACCCCGCGCTTCCCTCCATGCTGATGTACGCTAATCACACCTTCTCGTCATCCAATGCCCCTTGTAACTCGAAAAATTTCTCTACGCTATTGATCCAGTTTAACGGATTCGATCCCCTCGAAGACGGGTAGCCCACCCGTTTTTGCCAGTTGTTTTGCCCCTCGGTATGTTCGCCATTCTTTCCTCCTTCGTCTTCTCGCCTCGCCCTTCGACGCTCGTTGACGGACGCTTGGCTCCCATCTTCGTGTCCATCCTGGTTCCTGTTTCGTCCACCCAGCATTTGCCGTATTTCTTGCATATTTCTTTTCCATTCTGCCATGCTCCTTTCGCTAGTCCTCCTCTCCTAGGTATTGTCTTTTCCTTCCTTCACGCTTATCCTCCCTTTGATTCTATTCTCCAAAGCGGTAGCTTGCCCACCGTCTTGCTCTGCCTTTAATTGGATACGGTAGGTCCCTCCCAAGCGTATCCGGCGGGTCGGACCAATTGTTAGGTTCCTTAGTTTGAAACCTAACTAAAACAATCACTCACACACTCACAATCGAGAATTAACACTGTAAAAAAGAATGGTTTATGTATTGATACTGAAAGAAAGTACACAGATAGCGCTAATGGAGGCCTAATCCCTCTCTTAGCCCTAATGGAGGCCTAATCCCCCTCACAAGGTCCAAGACCTGTCTATACAAAAGAATACTCAAAGGTGTCCTCTCTACTAGACCCCCCTTGCCTTCTTATAGCGGCAACCCACTTCTAACTACCCAACGCAATTAATTCCTAAACTGTTTTCTCTCCCCTGCATCTATTACGTATTATAACCTCTCATATTAGATCCTATCAGTTTTGGTGTCATGTCAATTATCAAGGATTAAGAGGTTAAGCTATTATGCGTGCTTAAGAGTGAATTTTTACAATATACAGAATACCTTAATGCAATAATGTACTCTGAAAATCAATGTTATATGAGTACAATGCTGTTTAGTTGCTTGCAGATCCATGTAAAAGACTTGCTGAAGTATTTTGATGTGATGAAGGAGGTGCTTTTTTGTTATTAATCTTACATGTGGAGCATTATGCATCCTAAAGTGTTCCATGGATGTAAAATATCCATATTCTTTTTCAACAATTCTACTCTGCTAAGGCCCCATTTCAATTATTGCAGTACTCTAATAAAGCAGGATGTATCAAGTCAAGTACTTTTGTTGAAGCCATGCTTTTTCCATTTATTTTATTGTTTGATGGGAAGAGTGGAATTGCTCGTCCATGCAACGCTTCTTGGGACAAGACAAAGGAACTTTCAAAATCTTGTCTGAGTGGTAATAATGAATATAAATTTTCCAATAAGAGGCAGAAACTTGTTAAGGAATCAGTAAGTTCATCAAAGGAAGAATTTCACACTTCCATATATGAGCTGAGTGCTTGTTCTAATTCTTCCAGGAAACCAGAAGAGAACAGAAAATGTGTCAACATGAGATCTTCTCATGATTTATCTTGTCTGGTTACTTTTAAAAGCCTCCAAAGTGAGAATGAGGTTTGCCCAGCTATCTTGCGTTCTGCGTTACCTATGAAAGATGCAAGCTTAAATTCAAAACCTTCTTCAAGGAAAATTTTGCTAGAGTTCTCATCAGATAGATTTTTAAAGTACCAGGTATATCTTATTGTCCTTGGCCTGCCTACCAAGGATAGTAGGTATTAATTGATTTTATATAGTAGTGCAAACCCAAGTATTAATTTACTATCTACTGCATTTCAGTTGTTGCAGATTGGTGATTATTACATCATAGATAATAAGAGAAGGGATATCTCTGGAAGTACAAAAGATGTTGACTTTGGTAGGAGTGACAGTGTTAAATTACTTATTGATTCCGGAAAACGTATTTGGAGCCTTTCATTTATTTATGATGAGAACCTTTCTGATCATCTATCAGAATATACATCTGCAAAAGATTCTTTATCTCCTTCGGCTGATGGAGTTTCATCTAATCATCAAAAACTTCTGCGGAGGTCCAATAGTGAACCTTCCAGTGTCAGTTCAGATGTTTGCCTATATCTCCCCATCAGTCTTGCAGATGTCTTTGAGGATAATGTTATGGAATTGGAAGATAGTCGAAGCTTGCAGTCTGTAATATCAGAAGACAGTGCTAACCTTTCTTTAGGTACTGGGACTTCAGAGGATAGACCTAAATCTTGTTTTGGAACTCAGAGATCAAACAGCCTGTTCCCTGAGGGCAATTTGATGTCTCTTGAGGGGAATGTGATTGAAATTCATAAAACTGGCTCTGGTTTCTTCAGTTCATGCTCAAGTGGTGCAAACGTTGATTCTCTTCAGTTGATAGGTCTCGTTGGGACTAGAAGCAATTTCTGCATTCACGTTTTAGTGCATCACCATATTGTAACTGGAATCCCATCTTATTCTATATTTATCTTCATATTTTCTTTGCTTATTTTGCAACATAATCTTGTTAGTTTATTTCTTATTAGGTGAATATTTGTGGTTCTGTAAATAAACATACTTTCCCTACTGGATTTGGACCTGGTGTAACTGCAGTATTTCATCGAATTCTCTATGCAAGGTATGCATTTGATTATCCGCGACAAGAAATAATTGGAAACCAGTTTTTGTTTCACTGCACTTTTAAAGAAATAATAGTAATATTGACAGTGGTGAACTGCTCTGTAAAAAAAAATCCATTGACGAGTGTGTTGCATGTGTTCTTGTATGCCAATCTGTTCTGTATACATAATTTTACTCTTCCATTTTTCCATATGCACTTATATGAAGGAATATCCTCCCATTTATTATGTGAAATGACTTTAATTTTCATCATGATTGATTCCTTGTCTTCTGCTCTGCAGGGCACAAAATAAATTTATGTTGCTGCCTGTGTCATTTATTGTAATAAAATCCATAAAAGTATGTGATAAACAATGCGGTGACAGGCCCTCTGTTTTAAGCTCTACTAAAGATGCCGATGATGCATCTCGAGAGTATATCTCTTGTTTGATCTCTGAATTGCCTCAGGGCTTGACCCTCAAGATAATAGTGCTTTGATGCAGGGTAAATTGATTTTACATTTATCCATCAAATATTTGTGCTCTCATTCTCATATAACATTGTTTTTTATGCTGTCATTTGCGATCAGGTGGTTGCAGTCCTTGTTTTAGTTATAGAGAGAAAGACCACAAATTTTATTGCAGAAACAAAAGTTAATGCTCAAGGGACTCTTTTGGACATTCCACTTGCTTGTTTTTTGTTGGGTAAGTTATGTGTAAATGCTACTCAAGAAAAGTCATCTATAATCACTTTCTTTTTCTTGCATGTGCATGTATTGTTGGTCGAATATGGTTTAACTGACAGTTGTTTTACTTGGTGTTTTATACATTATAAACATCTTTTAAATATTTTATATAATAATTCCACATAATTTGTCTACTTTTTATTGCTTGGGTGAGTTTCTGTTTCCTAACTTCTATTTAGTTTGTGTTCCTCGATCATTTCTGACATGGACTCCTTGTTTGATTATTGCGTTATGCCCATATCTATTAGTATTTACTTGGCAATATTCTTATATAAGTTGTATTTATATTTTGGGCTGTAGCAAAATTTGTAGGAAAAAAACTTTCCCGTGACCATTTTTTTTATGGTATTTTATTCTTCCAGAAGATGGATCATCATCATGTTGTTGCTGGGCTAGTGCTGAAAGGGCAGCAACTTTGTTGAGACTACGTGAAGAACTAACCACATCCCATCATCTAGGGAGAATTTTGAAAAAGCACAAAAAAATTACAGTGAAAAGCCATGGATTATCTGTTGATTCTCCTTGCCAAGATCATATTTTTACAGTTGCTTCTGGGAATGCTCTTTGCAGTTCCGACGAAAACATCCTCAAGTTCATTTTATGCAATGCATGCATCGGAGGAATATGGGTGAGTTATCATATATTGATTGGAAGTAGTCAGACATGATTAGTTTATCATGAAGATCTTGGAGAGTAGAGTAATATTAAGACTGGTATATTGTGTCGATTTTATCAAAAAAACTACATTCTTCAGAGGCAAAAGTAGAAGAAAACCTTCATTTGTTAATGAGTAATATTAAGTTTGGTGACGTAATAATTGTGACATTCTGTGATTTGTTGCTCACAGCTTGCTCCCCTTGTTTATAAGTTGATATATTTTGCATCCGGCCTCATATCATTTCAGTTTCTTTGGCTCTTACGGAGTTTACTAATTAAGGCTTTTAACCTGACATGAGCAGAATGTTGTTGCTGGTGGGATGGATGCAGAGGAAACAAGACAGTTGGGAGAGGAATACCTCACAGAAATGCTGAATGTGCATAACATGCGGAATATGTGGGCTGAAGAAGTCTCTTACCCACGCACTCGGGCTGAAGCAAGACATATGATTCAGGAACTTCTGAAAAATATGTAAAAATTAGCAGAAGTAGCATGCTGAAATAGGTCTTGTAATTAGATCGTGTTCGGTCGACCTTTTCTGGGCTTCTCTTTTATGTAAAAAAAAAAAGATATACCAAACATTTTTTGAAAAACTTGTTAGAGTTTAGTTTCATCTATATAAAAGGAGAAAAGTATTTGAATAGTATTTCAAATTATGTAATAAAAAGAAAGATAAATATATATATAAATTTTAGTTTGTCCTAATTATAGAATGCAAGGAAACAAATTAGACATGTATTTCTATGTAAAAAATTATAAATTCAGGAACTTCTGAAAAATTAATGCCTATGGTCAGATATGTAATTATATGTAAAAATTAGCAGAAGTAGCATGCTGAAATAGGTCTTGTAATTAGATCGTGTTCGGTCGACCTCTTCTGGGCTTCTCTTTTATGTAAAAAAAAAAAAGATATACCAAACATTTTTTGAAAAACTTGTTAGAGTTTAGTTTCATCTATATAAAAGGAGAAAAGTATTTGAATAGTATTTCAAATTATGTAATAAAAAGAAAGATAAATATATATATAAATTTTAGTTTGTCCTAATTATAGAATGCAAGGAAACAAATTAGACATGTATTTCTATGTAAAAAATTATAAATTCAGGAACTTCTGAAAAATTAATGCCTATGGTCAGACATGTATTTCTATGTAAAAATTAGCAGAAGTAGCATGCTGAAATAGGTCTTGTAATTAGATCGTGTTCGGTCGACCTCTTCTGGGCTTCTCTTTTATGTAAAAAAAAAAAAGATATACCAAACATTTTTTGAAAAACTTGTTAGAGTTTAGTTTCATCTATATAAAAGGAGAAAAGTATTTGAATAGTATTTCAAATTATGTAATAAAAAGAAAGATAAATATATATATATAAATTTTAGTTTGTCCTAATTATAGAATGCAAGGAAACAAATTAATGTAAATAATCTATTCTAATTAGGTAAATTAAAGAGGTGTGTTAGAGTTTAATACATTCATACTCAAGGTAAATTTAGGAACAAGAATAACATTGCTCCTTGAAGTTATTGATATATTCTAACGCAAATTTAAGTAGAATCAAATTCAACCACGACATGCACGTCAAGTCAATTTCATCAATGAGCAGTCACACATTCAAGATAACTTGTTCATGGTCATTCAAGCATTTACTTTTTGTTCAAAAGACTTGGTGTTTTAGCCTGCCTGGCCCCTGACGCGTAGATCCTCTAATATGTTATCTTCATGTTGCGGCAGCTAAAAGATCCAAATTGATGACCAAGTTGAAATGGGAATTTTTGTAGACTATGATGCAAGTTCTAAAGGCTATAGATTCTACAAGTAAAAAAAAGATTGTTATTAACATGGATATTCAATTTGGCAAGAATGCGTACAAAGATTGGAAAAGTAACCAAGCTTAGGACAAGTAAACTTGTCTTGATGGACATAATCTGTTTCAATTTTAATGAAAAATTCTACATTAACTCGATACAGGTATAGATAATACTTTTTTTTTTATTAAATTGGGGATAAGACGAGTATGCATATATTTATCCTGTTACTATTCCCATTTTAGGCTTTGTCCCTGTTCCATGCCCGTTTTTGTTTTAAATATTAAAAATTAATAATTTATTTGGTAACATATCAAACTTATCTCCAATGTTCTCTCTTTTGTTTACACTAAGTTGCATTTAATTTGGAAAGCCCTTATGTTTTTCTTTTGTCATATGACTTTTCATTCTTTCTCTCAATTGTTACTCGACTTCTTCAATATTGGCAAAGTACACTCATATTCCCTAGATATTTTTTTCCCTTATTACAATCTTCATTACACATTTTGTTTTATTTACACAATTTCATTCAAATGATGTATGCATTTTAGAAAATACAAACACCAATTTCTATAAATCAAATAGTCTTTTAGACACACATTTGATTAATATTTTTGTTTATTATCTATTCTTTTCACAGGAAAATATTTCAACTCCAACTCTTCAATTAAGTAAATTCTTAGGATGTGCACGATTTTTACATTGAGTCATTAATAATATTATATTCTCATTGTTGTTATTTTTATTTTTTTTAAACAAAAATTATTTAATTAATATTTAAAATAGTAAGAGAGCAAGTACAACTATACTTGTAATCCAATGGGACGAGGACGAGACAAAAGTTTCTTACCCATTAAGTATATGCATGTGTAACACATGCAGCAGGGCATGACCGTTCGATTGCACACAATGGTCGTGTGTCTGATGTTGCATCGAATGACTTAGTATCAAACACCGAACGACAAATGACCTTGGCACCAAACGATATCATGTCAAGTAGAGAGGAAGGAAGGGGAATTATGCACCGAACGGCAGAGGACCGTTGCACCGAACGATAGAGGACCGTTGCACCGAACGACATCTTGTCAAGCAGAGAGGAAGGAAGGGAAATGCGTAGAGGAACACGTCAGAGGAGGGAGAATATAAAATGGCATGATTTCATTTTGGGATAGTGGGTGGAATGTTGCTGGCTCTTTTGCATTTCTTTTTATGCATTCTCTGGCTGTTTCTTTTGAGGACGTGTATTTTGCTCTGACTATAAAGGGAATCTTATCCCTAAACCATCTCTTTTACTCCTTCGAGAAGTTTAAATAATACTTCTATTCAGAGCATTACTGTGTTACCCTAATTTTTTCTACTGAGTACAGGTTTATTTATCATTGCTATTCTGTCAACTTCAGTATTGTCGGTATCAGTATTGTTACATTGGTGCTTTCATTCCCATGGCAAGTGATTCAATCATAAAAACCTGGGCAAAGTCATTCATGCTTTCAATGTAATAGCACTCAATTACAAAAACTCTGGAGTTCAAAACCTCACACATAAGCTCATTCAACATTCCACACATTCCAGATACACATCCTGCTTAGCATCATAATCACAATCACAACATCATGCATTTGTTCACATAGCTTGTGAACAACCAACTGTATATCAGCATATAGTGCACAATCTCAACATCAATCAATATCCAAGCATCATCAAGATTTACTCATCATGCATAAATCAAAGCAAACCATCATAATAGATAAAGTTTCACACTGAGTACATCACAACCTATTCTAAAAACAGAAGCAAATAAGTTAACCAGTACAAAACAAAAGATAGAAAAAATCCTGCTCTAGTGGTGATAGCATCCATCAGTAAATGTTATCTTAACTCCTCATCATCCCATGTTGTCATCTGAATCTTCCTCCTCTTCTTCTTCTTCAGCATCTTCAAAGGCATCATCATCTTCCTCCTCCTCCTCATCCACTAGTACAACAATCACGTACAACGTTGAATATTTTGGGCTTTTAACGACTAATTCTTGAACGACGTTGATAACAGTTGAAAAACTGTTATTTTCATACTTAAAATTGACACAAAAAGCAACCTTTACACTTAGAAACTAGCTTGAAATCATGCTTTTATCCATATTTTCAGAAATAAGAGAGCTGGACAGGTTTATGCTTGATTTCAGTGTTTTTGTGCAGGTTTTAAGGTGAATTTAGTGAAAGAAGTGAAGAAGGAGAGAGATGGAATCAGAAAAGTCAACCAGAAACCAGAAAAGTCAACCAGTCAACCAGAAAAGTCAACCAGTCAACCAAAAAGTCAACCAGTCAACCAGAATACGAAAAAAGTCAACTAGACGAGTTTTGGGCCAGTTTTATGCGATTTTATGATCTGTTTGGGCCTGGACCCGTTTTCTATTATTTTTATGTCCTATTTAAAGACCTAGATGTTTTAGGGTTTGGTATCTTTGGCAGAAACAAAGCAAACACTCTCTCTTCCACCCCTTTGGGGTAGATTGGGAGATGGTGACAACTCTCATCTTCTCTCTCTCGGCTAGGGTTTTATCTTTCATTCTTTCATTATTGTTCATCTAGGTTCACCATGAATATGGTGAACTAAACCTTGTATGTTTGTTGGGGAATCAATGTAATCTTTTGAAGCTCTCATATATGGAATTTGTGCTTGCATCTTAATATAAGATTTATGCTTTCTTTCATCATTAGTTAGGGTTTTTCCTCTTTGCTTAATGCTTGCTTTGTTTAACTCATTCAATGCATGATTATTGATTTTGTCGATACGGGAACGTACGGGGAAGTCTAGATCCGGGGAATTACTCCCAATATTATATTGGTTGTCGTTAAGCTCCTGTGCTAAGAGAACTAATTATTAGGAATGCTAGGAATCGTATGAACTCGTAATTAGGGATAGGCCTTCTTGACAAGGTAATTTAGAGAGTGGCATTAACAATGATGATTTGAATGTTGAATTCCTAAAATATATGAGAGTGGATAAGATGAAATTGATCCCCAACAACATATTCATATATATATTTCATTGAAAGTGCTTGTCTTTTGCTTTTGCCATTGATCAAAATCTCATGCATACATGTTTATTTTCTGTTTTGCATATTAAACTTCAAATATTTCGTTCTTAAGTCTTAGCTAATCAACGAACCACACAACTAAACTAGGCCGTGAGTCCTTTGGGAGAACGATACTTGGTCTTACCGAGTTTATTACTTGAAACGATTCGGTCATACTTGCCGATTGTAAAACAAGTTTGTGACATCATATTTTGGTGATCATAAATTTGTCCATCAGACGTCATATCAAGGGATGTTAAATTTACGTCATTTTTTTTAAAATTCGATGTCAAATTAACGTTGAATTTTGTAAATTTGCGACCTTAACTTAACGTTGAATTTTGTTAATATACGACGTTAATCAAGGTTTTTTTGTTTTTTTTAATTAATTGTGATCCTTTTTCGCAACTCTACGAGACCTGAAAAGCAGAAAAACAACAAATTTCAGTTTTTGGTGTTTTCTAAAGCAAGAATTATGAACGTAGTGTCAACAACAAACAACAATAACTAACAACAAACGAGTTCAATCAAATCACATCAACAAACAAGTTCAACCAAAAAACAACAAACAAGTTCAACAAAAACAGCAAAAACAATTTCAACAAATAAGTTCTTCAAAACGAAAACGAACACTAACCTTCAAAAGGTTGGTTTTTTGTCGGAAAAAAGTATCGTCACTAGCGACAAAGAAAGAAGAATGCCCCTATGAAGCACAAAAGCACGAAAATAATCGGTCAAAACAAACGAAAATCATAAATAAAATGCATTTGTATCAAATGAAAGAAAGATTACATGTGAATGGTCGTCAAACTTCGTTTGAGAAAAATTTTAGAAGAGAGAAGAGGGTCTCGTGCGTTGAGATAAAGTGAATGAATTTTCAATCTCCCGCTCAAATTTTTATTGAATTCACAAACCTTTTGACGTCTAACACTGGGACATTCGACGTTTTATATCCTTTTACGTCGAATTACAATTCTAAACAACGTTTAATAATTCCATTTATTTACAAAAATTCCACCGGTCATTTTTAACGTTGGCTATTAGTTGTTAGACGTTAAACGTGTGACATTATACACTATTTTTGTACTAGTGATCCATAGCTGAAGCTTTAGCTGCTCTAGCTCCACTGCCCTGAGCTTGCTCCTCTGGCCATGCCACCACATTGTTAAATTCATCCATAGTCCACCGATGTCCTGGGGTGTATCATACATCCCAATGATTATCTCTGTTGTGGCCACCTGCCCTCTGTGAAGGGACTGCATCCGGGCATCCATAAAAGACATATATATATATATATATATATATATATATATATCTCATTTGAAATGGCTCTGCCTCATGAGGTTGTGCAGGTGCCTGTGGTGGTCTCCTCCTTCTAGGAGGCTGGTGTGGTGGTACTGGTTGAGCTGCCTCATCTCCGCCA